ATGCTGCCGGACTCGAAACAGAAGGTTAAAGATAAGCCAGAGCAGGTTTTCAGGTCAACAAGTGATAGTAACCTGAAAGTGCAGATTCCAAAGTTGAGCGTACTCGTATTCACTGATGATTAAGTACGATGTTTCAGGTTTTACTATCCCTATGGCCGGCCAAACGATAACCAGGGAGATTCGATGCCCGCGAGCATTGTTCATCTTTTCAACAAAAACAGCAATCGTTTGACCGGCGCAAATATTGACGAACTATTGAAAGAGCTCAACTTGACCATATTTTTTCGCAAGGCAATTCTCAATTTTCGCCCAAATGGTAGCAGCGGCGATGGTCTAACATTCCAGGAATTTTTCTTTATTTGGAAGAGGTAGTGAATCTCTTTAAAAAGTGTTTGGTACTCTAGATATGTATTTTTTTAATTCATGGTAGTAATCAGTTTATTTTTTAATTGTAATTCTAATTCGATAATGGAATGGTGGAATAATGCATTAGAAGTCGACTTCTAACTGTGAAAGTGCCGGGTTCGATTCCGCCAAAGGGCAATCCCCTCTTAACAACGTGGTTCCTTGAGTAAGGAATTCATGACACATTGCTTCCGACCGAGATTGCTCAGTCGGTAGAGTGTCAGACTCGAAACCGAGATATCTCGATTTTGAACCCCCCTCATGTTTCTTACTCTGAAGTTGGTAAATGAGTGCCACTCTGTTAGAAGGAAGCAGGAGACTACACTCTACTCTTATATCATAACTACTGTCTACTCTGCCTGTAAAATAAATCACTTTTGGCTGATTGCATGAAGAAAGAGATCATTAACTTAGCCACAGGAAAGGCCCTGAAATAGATACATCATGAACATCCAACGAAGTCCGGTGTTCCAACGGTTAAGAACTTTCTTTCCGTCTTTCCATTCTATTTTCAGGGAGCCGGCTCAGAAGAGCTGTCTCATTTATGTTTCCGCTCATTTGCGAATACCAGCAGTAAGGCAACGACTAGATTCTATTACGAATGTAAGGCATTTACCCCGATGGTTCTGTGGCAGGGGTCGCCCTCCGTAGTCTAGTCTCGTG